CAGAATGCGTATTCATACGTGTAAGACTAAATGTGGGTGGAGGGGGGTATATTATTAGGCTGTTAACCAAGTTTTGCAACTAAGTCCGTAACTTTTCGCTTTTTGATATTGGCGCGCTCAAATTTTGAAGTAGTATAGACGACTGCCGTGTGAGCCATAACCTGGCACAAGTCACTCGCTTTTTGATAACAAAATAGAAAAATCTGAGAGGCAAGCCACATGATGGGAAAGTTGGAGTGCGTCTATGCAAAGAGAGAGAACTTATAAGAGTAGTTGTAAAACTTAGTTAACAACTTAATAAGTTGGACGAAGAAACATACATCTAATTAGATTACATAAATTCATGAATGAGTGGAAGTATCTTGAATTAATAAATGTGAGCAATGAGACGCTGAGAAACTATTAAACTATGTGATGATTGGCACCTAAATAATCTACTTGAAACACCCACGATCACTGAGTAGTTGAATGCTTGAAAAAAGCAAATGACTGAGCAGTTTGAATAAACAAATTTGTACATTAGCGTCTACGAATTGAGGATCAAAATTGGATAGTATGTAGTAAAATGCGCAAGTATGAACGAATGCTTGATAGGATCAAGATTAGGAGTACATTGGTGAATAAACGAGTAAATAAAAACTGAGTCAAAGCAGTAGAAAAAGGTAAATGTGTGAGAATAAGTGTAAAAAAGATTAAAAGGTCATCTTGGTGATTGGCCAGATATCTGACAGAAGTACACAGGATACTAAGAGCCCGCATGTTGCTAGAGGTTCAAAAAAAGCCCTACATTTTGAAAACTTGCATGTTCAGCAACCCAAGGGTGTGCGGATTAAAGCCATTATGCAGTTGCACGGTAGTTTTTCTTTTTTCTCGGGCTATTTTAGGAAATGATGAAATTTTCCATGAGCTTGTCTGCCTGTCTTTATGCTTGAAATTCAATTTTAGGACATATTTCGTCCAAGCCAGAACATAAAGTGAGTCGGTGCAGATGTAAAGATACTCGCTACAAAAAACACTGGCGCAGAAATAAGCGCGCACGGCTCAGTACGAGATGAGCGACGACGAACGTGAATCTGCGCCAAGCCGAAAAAGACAGGATAGCATAGCCATATACGTTTATGACCAAACATCTTCCATAACGTAAGAAAACGGCGATGTGCAGCCCTATAGGGCCGCTTTTCATTCTCTTAACGACGTTCGGTCGTTCTTTAGCTTGCGTATGACAGCGCCATCAGCGCCAAACTCGAGTTACAGGCTAATCTTTTATAAGATGTGTGAGTTTACACAACACGCAACACACCATAACATTCTAATTGTAGACTAGTGGAGTGGTGGCAAAAGGCGCTTTCAATTTCGCGCACGAAACAAACGCTCCGCCTTGTTTCAGCTAGACAGGTCCAGACACGATATGCCCTTTCAATTGTGAGTGGGTGGGGCCTAAAGTTGCTTGCGTTTTGTAAGCATTGTCGTCTTGTGACTGAAGCCCTGCCCCCCTCAAGTATACAGCCAGCAAAAACAAGGAACAAATGTTATAAATAAATTAGTTACACTCGAGGAAGACAAGCAAACAGCAGTGAGAGGACGCGGAAGTCTGAAGTTTTGAGGTTTGCACCCAAAACAGACGCTCCGCCTTCAAACTGGTCCTAGCACGACAGGCATTTTCGACGCGGAAGTGGGTGGGGCTTCAAGTTGATGGTGCTTTGCACGTGTTGCCCCATTGCAGTGCCCCCCCCCCCCTCCTCCCCTTTCAGATAACAGTCACTTACTATTTACATGGAACAAATCGTACAAATTATTAGCTACACATGAAAGGTTTGACCAAAAAATGTGTTTGGCGTAGAAATCTAAAGTTTTAATCTTCGCGCTCGAAACAAACGCCCGCCTCATATTGGTAAACTAGGTCCTGACGTGATATTCCTGGATGTGGGCGGAGTTTGAAGTTGATAGTGTTCTGCACGGCGATCGCCTTGCGCGTTACTGCGAATTTACTAGTCGAACCTGTTTGATCACGTTTGTACTTGAAAAGGAAGAGAGATGAAAGATCAAAGAGAACGCAAAAAAAAAGACAAGTGTAAGCACACAATAGTCGTGTAAGAATGACGCGCAATATGTGTATTACACATGTTGCACAGACAAACTACAATGTCTCAAATCGCACAATAATCATAAACTGGAGGAGACCCATGTGAAGATAGTCGTGAAAGAACGATGGAACGCTCGTCGGAAGAACTTGGTCGGCGACAAATAGCTGTTGAGGCTTAAAGTGCAGCCGAAAAACTAGAGCGGAATGCTGGAAACGTGCCGCTATCGATTCGAATTCACAAATGAGAAGTTGAAATTAATTGTGGAAACACATCTGTGGCCGATGTCTTCATTCCGGCAGTACGGCGCCGTAGCTCAAAAGGGCGACTTCATTGATGGCAGTGCTTAAATCTGCCCCGTGTAAGTGACAAGGGCAATGTGCTGCAAATTTCACTGTCTGTCTGTCGCCGACGGCTTGACATGATGGAAGTGAAGAACTCTTGAAGCCTTGGGCAAATGTAATTCTCTCTGGCAAAAAGATAATTGCGTTGAAAGCAGCGCGCAGAAAGCGCAGATGTGCGAGCGGTTTTGAAGATTTCAACGAAATCCTATCCAGAAGGCCAAAAGTCCAGGGCTTTTGTTGGAAATCATTATCTCATTCGTTGTGCAACATGTTTTTCTAATTTCTCGGAATCTGGAGAAAGGAAATCGTGTTTTCTACACACACTGCTCTAAAAAAACCATTGTTGACATAGCAAGGAGACAAGTTCATGAGTATAATCACATTAAAATCTAGCATATGAGCCTTTCCGCAGATGAACCCGTGTCCGTCAAATAGACAAACCGAGGGAAAACGAGAAAGAATGAGGAGTTTGCAAGATAGTCCGGACTCGTATAGAAAAAAGAACTTATATGCCAGATTTCGGGGTGTTCAAATTTTGCAACCTTTGAGATGAATCACAAAAATTGCTAAGTGGTCGATAGATTCCGGCTGTATCGACATTGAAGTTATTATGTTCCCTATAACATACCATCAAAAAAATTCGTGCTGGTGTCGATTTTTCTTAGATGAAATTATAAATCGAAATGGCTTAAGAAACTATAGTATGCATACTTTTGAACGATAATATTAACGTTATTGTTTTTATGCATTGATGTGTTGAAAGAGAAGATCACGAATTTTTTGAACTTGTAAAATTTTCGGAAATCCGAATGTGAAAAATTCTCGAGAATAATGGTTGCATTCGATTTTTTTGTTGTATTTTCAATAGCCTCATGGTGTACCATAAATGAAATAAATGAACCTTGAACAAATAAAGAAAATAAGCCAGTCCCAATCGCAGAGAGTTAGATGTTACAGGAGAATTGAAAGGCGAATCCCAGATTCATTAGAACGTACGGGCCTCTAGAAGCGGTCAATAGCAGAAAGGTAAACAAATAGATCAGAAAATATAGAATTTAAATATGTGTTTTTGCTGATCGTTCTTCGATTTCGAACCAAAAAGCTTCTACTGACCAATACAAAAAAGAATTCTTTTTAGTCAATAGCTATCCCTTTGTTTTAATAGTTAGACCAAAGCCCGGCACAGATCGTATGGAACGAGCTTGATTTCGTTTTTGGGGAGAAAAGACCCAAAAAATTGAGAAAGGTGACGTTTCGTTTAAGGGTTTTTTACAGATATGGTTTGGGGTCAAAGGGGACCACGTGAGTTTTGGAGAAAGTCAAGAGAAACTTCGTTTTCAAAAAAGCCTAGAAACGGACTCATGCCGGGTCCTAAGTTAAACTCTCATGAAATGATTCTAAGATTTCACGAACAATATGTAACCTAATACCTAAACCTTTGCACGTTTCTGGTTTTTTCCCGGACAAGCGCCAATTTCATGCTAATAAGCAAATGCGAATACAGAGCAAAATTTTAGAAAAGTTTCAACAACTATGAAAAAGGGCATGTTTTTAATATTGTTTTCTTTTCTGATGGTTTTGCGAGGGTTTTCGTGATAGACATTGGCCATTTTTAAAATAATGAAATAAGTAACTTGCAATTAATTGTTAAAGTTGTTCAAAATTCTTTCTGAATTTTCGACCAGCCATGAGCAAAAATTCAAAAGTCTTCGAGGCAAATTTTCTTCTTCTTTGCATTGGTCATGTTTCCGTCGCATTTGTTTGCGTGGTCATCAAAACGCCGAAATTTCGAACCCATAGTCTCTGCCATTCCTAAATTTGGCAATTCACCAAGAATTTCGATCTCAACTTCCGCAAGAGCTGTGATACAGATGGATAAAGGGAACAACAGAATTCTGGGCATCTCCGAGTAGCTTTTTAGTATTATTCAAGATGATTTTCCCAAAAATCTCCACTTTTGCAAAGCCGTGTGATACACGAACATCAAACACTGAAAAGTCTACGGAATTCATGAATTGCAAAACTCAACCACCATTCAAAACCAATTTCACGAAGCAAAAGAGTGTTCACCGATTCGAAATATCGAATTGATTTCGGTTACAGCCATAAGCGCGTTCAGAAATTCACAATAAGGATGATTTCATCCTCCACGGTTCCGCAAATCGAAGAAAAACGCCCACCAGAAAGAGGAGAGAAAGCTGCATCGAACAACACCTAAATTGCTTGTCTGTTGAGGTTTGGCTTGTCCAAATATGGAATATGTTGACATTATGAAAAGTTTTGGTGATCTTGAGAAGCTAGCTGGATTGTCAAACGAAGTTTATAGTGCTTCGCTTTGTTCGCTCTACCCGGCTTTTATCGAAGCTCTTTCAAATGTTCAACATGAAAAGTGGAAAATTGCCAAACTTGAGCACGATGAAAACCATGGGTTCAGCATTTCTGTAATTATTTTAGTAACCACAAAAGCAAATAGCCTCAAAACATTACTGCAAGAGGAGAACTGTGTGGAAGGGTTTTTGAAGAGTTCGAACATCTTTGTGGTTTATGATAGATCGAAAAAGCGAAAAGAACGTACAGAACGAACTGATTTGGCCGAGTGGCACTTTTGACTTCTAGCACGCTTAAATACTCACTGATTCATACAGTTCAACCGGTAAAGAGAAACCTGATAATGAAAGATAGAATATAAAGGATCAAGGATCCTGCATGATTAATACCTGAGACAAGCACCATTGCGTTTCTCAGGCGAAGAGGCTACGTATACGAATATCGAAAGCGAACGAAATGATTAATAGGGGGGAGTGAATTGGTTTCTCAGCTCTCTCAAGTTGATGGTACCAATCTAGTGCTCTAGCAAAGGACTCGATCAGCTCAGGATCCATAGTCGAACATTTTCCAGTGGCCCCAGCAGCGCTTCATACCGTTTGGCTCCCTTCTAAGTTAACAAAAGAAAGATACTAAGGAACTGTGTTAAAATTTCTTTGATATATAAAGTAGGAATCAAAGCTATGAAGGAAGGTAAAAGAACGAGTTATCGCTTAGAAGCATTAGGTATAATACAGGACTATAGATTTTTATACCTTGCATAATCACACTTGTTGCCAACAGGAGATAGAAGAGGGTTAAAGTATACTCATTTTTCTGATGCCGCCAGGGTTTCCCTCCCGTATCAAAGAGCAGCATGATAACTACTGAGAACAAATGTTGCGAAGGCATAAGAGCAGTACATAGGTGTCGGATTACGCATGGAGAACAAGAAAAAATAATAATGAAGTAATAATTTCCAGAAAGTTCCAGGCAATCTATTCTACGCGCAAAAAAACGCAAAAAAGTAGCAATTTTCTTGCCATTGATTTCTCAAAACCTCTAGCTTTCACCCATCTCACTTATGCATAGTTTTGACAGAAACTTGACAGGTGCAGTCTCATTTGATTTATATTTGCCAAAGCCCGGCGAGAGCTGTAATAAGTGCAGTTTTGATACTCGATTTTGATTGACGAGAAAAGTACAAATGTATAAATCCGGCCGAAGTAGAGCAGCGCAAGCACCGACAAATTCATTTGTCAGTTTAAGAGTTCGCAAATGAAAAGACAAATTCTGCGATGAATGCGTGGTGATTCGTCCTGGTATGAAGAGGTGGTGATTGTATAGATATGTAAGGCATGTGCTGACTGTGAATCAAAACTCTCTTCTTTTCACAGCGACTACATTGCAGATATCTTATTCGTCTTATTGAACAGATCAAGAACTGAAAAATAAAAATCTTATTTGTGTCATTCGAGTAGACAATTAGCTTGATGTAAGTGACATAAAACAATAGCGAGCCAAATTTGCATAAACGCTTGATTTTCATCCTTCTCTTCTCAAATAGGGCAATTACCTCTTTTCATTTTGGCGTTTTTTCTCGACGAGCTAAGCTCATATCAGGTTGGCCCGAAAGCCCTTGCGTAAGAAACCTAATAACTTTTTAAACATCAAGCTAAATCCATTCAGTAAGCTGAAATAGTATTAGGTTGTCCCAAAAGTAAACTCCATTTTCGAATAAATTGAGCTGTTCTTGTTTTCCTAATAGAATTAAGGTATCATTCGATATAGCGGTGCAGACTCTACAAAAAGATCACTAAAGATCTATCTAAGTCGTAACTCAGATAAAATTTGGAGCCGAAAATCAAAATTTTTTTAGCTACCCTAAAAATCGGATCCCCTTCCAGAAAATTTCTACGGACTTCCAACTTGGTCTCTATATAGTAGATACAAGTAGTACACAAAAATGTATTTGGTGGATTTTTTCCGGCGCTCAAAATTGAGAAACAAAGATGGTCCGAAAATGCCAAAATGCCACTTTTTTCGGGTTTCTTATGTAAAACTTGGTATTTGTCGATTATAAGAGCACATACAGAGGTAAGGTTTTGAAATTGTACTTACTAAGGCTTGTAGTATACAATGACATATGTGGGAGGGGCTGGGGGCGGAGTTTACCACTTTTAAACAATTTTTTTCGCTTTCTATGTTCGGAAAAAAATTCGGCAAAAGCATTTTTGAGTACTACCACGTGCCTACTGTATAATGTCCAAGTTGGAGGTCCGTAATGTTTTCCCTCGCAAAAATTCTATTTTCAGGTGACAAAACTTTTTCGATTTGGCTTCAAACTTTACATGAAATGCGACTTAGGCGAACTCCTGATGGTCTTTTTGTAGGGCTTGATCTGCTCTATCGAATGATACCCCAAGTCTACCAGTAAAGCAAAAACTGCTTGAATTATTCAAAAACGGAGTTTACTTTTGAGACAACCTAATGAAAGGTTTGCGCTCCATAATGAATGTTCAAGCATAAAGTCCAAACAACTGTGGCAAGCTTCAATCTCTTAGGGAGATGCAAAAACAAAAAATATGTGAAAATGTCATTTGGCAGTACGTACCCCTTTACTGCACATTTTGTGCGTAAACACTTGTGGACACTCCAGAAACGTCACAGCGTTCTAACTAGGCACTATTTCCAATTTCTGTTTCCAGAATGCTTGTTAAAAAAACTGCAGCTATAAGTAGATTTATCCTGTAGATTAATTTTGCTAGCTAGCGGCCCTCCGCGATATCCTAGCACCACACTCAATGTCGCAAATTTTGAGCGCCATTTTTGAAAGCTTCGTTCTCGGTGGTTAGCTTGTATGTTGCGTTCAAGCATCCGTTATGAAGGGCAAAACTTCTACTATATTGATACTTCTACTATATTGATAGACCAGAAAGTACAGAATACAAATCTATATTTTTGCTGATCGATTTCGATTTCGATGTAAAATGCTTTTTTAGCCTACACAAAAAAAGGATTCTTTCTAGATATTGCTATTCCTTTGTTTAGTAGTTAGACTCCCATGAAATCATTCTAAGATTTCGCGAACAATATGTGATCTAATACCTAAACCTAAACCTTTGCACGTTTCTGGTTTTTTTTCTCGATCAAGCGCCAATTTATGCTAATAAGCATATGCGAATAGAGCAGAATTTTGGAAAAGTTTCAACAACTATAAATAGGACTTGTTTTTGATATTGTTGTTCTTTGCTGATAGTTTTGCAAGGGTTTTTGTGACAGACACTGGCCATATTTGAAATAATGGAATAAGTAAATTGCATCAATTGTTAGATGTTGTTTCAAAATCTTCCTGAATTTTCGGCCAGCCGAGAACACAGGAATAAAGAAGGACAAAAATTCAAAGTTCTTCGAGACAAAATTTCTTCTTCTTTTCATTAGTCATGTTTCCGTAGCGTTTGTTTGCGTGATCACCAAAACGCCGAAATTTTGAATCCTTTTTTTTCTGCCACACCTAACTTTGGCATTTTTCAAAAAATTTCGGTCTCAACTTCCGCAAGAGCTGTGATAACAGGTGAATGAAGGAAATAACGTCAATACAACAGTTCCATTATTTTTCAAGATGACTTTCCCAGAAATCTTGATTTTTCCCAGATGATTTTTCCGTGTGATACACGAACACATCAAACACAGAAAAAGTCTACGGAATTCAAGTGTTGCAAAGCTCAACCATCATTTAACACAAGATTTACAAAGCAAAAGAGTGTTGACTGCTCTGAAATACCAAATATTGTGATTTCGGTTACAGCCATAAGCGGTCCAGAAATTCACAATTCGATGATTTGATCCTCGACGGTTCCACAAATGGAGTAAAAACTCCCAGCAGAAAGAGGAGAAAAAGCTGCATTGAACAACATTCGAGTTGCTTGTCGATTAATTTTCTGTGAGGTTTGGCTTGTCCAAATATGGAATATGTTGAAATTAGAAAATTTTGGTCATTTTGAGAAGCTAGCTGGAATGTCAAAAAATTCACAGTGCTGCGCTTTGTTTGCTCTATCCAGCTTTTATCAAAGCTCCTTCAAATGTCCAACATAAGGAAATTGGAAAATTGCCAAACTTGAGAAAGACTAAGGAAGAAAAGAACGAGAGAAAAAGAAAGAAATAGAAAGAATATAGAGAAAAAGAAAGAAATAGAAAGAATATAGAAAATAGAAAATAAAATAAAGAATTAGAAAGACTATCAAACAAATTCTTAACAAAGACTAACTTTGTTGAGAATTTGTTTGATATATAAAGTAGGGATCAAGACTATGAAAGAAGGCAAAAGAACGAGTCATCGCTTAGAAACACTAGATGTATTTATGAGACTATAAATTTTTATTCCTTTATTCTTTGCATATACACACCTATTGACAACAGTAAATCAGATGGAAGAGAATTAGAGTGTAATCATTTTCGAAGCTTCTGATGCCGTCAGGGTCTCTCTCCCGTATCAAAAAGCAGCATGACTAATTGATGAGATCATATGTTGCAAAGGCATAAGAGCAGGAGGTGTCGGATTCTGCATGGGGAACAAGGAAAAATAATATTGAAGTAATATTAGACTGGTGCAAAAGTAATGCGCCTTTTGCGAGTTCTCACTTTGACGTGCTATAACTTTCTAATTTTGTATATTTCTTAATGCGATAAAGACTATTAAATTCAGCAAGTCTTTCTAACGCAACGCACTTTACCTATATTCATATCACAGACAGGCCGTAAAATATGGATTGATAAGCAAAAAAAATCTACCTTGCTTTTAACTGATCATAACTCTCTTCAAAAATTGGTCTATAAACGATAGGTAGCCTATCTTGTGGTCGCAAGCTAGTAATACAAAAAAGTTGGAGCTCAAACAAAGAAGATTTGCGAAAAGAAAAAAATTGCAATCCAAAATTGCCCGCATTTTTTAACATTTTCTGTAGGCCTCAAAGTCTCAAACTATGGAGTTTTCTGAGTTGATGCGTACTGAACAGCTAACATCTGTGCAAAAAACTGTCAACAGGAAACCCACTCTCTACGCTTTCAGAAATGAGCAAAACTTTGGCAATAGCCTTCTCCAGAGGAAATTTATGGGACACGGAATGACCAAAACGACTACCCATGCCGTAATCTTAGTCTAGATTATGTTTAAGAAGACAGTAGAGTATATAATAATGTGGACAATTTCTATTACATACATTAGATAGAGTTTCAAAAGCATGCTTTTAGTCGTACTTGAATTCTGGCCAGAAAAGTGAATGAAATGAA